GTCCTTAAAAAATATAATTGGCCAACTGGAAAAAAGTACACTGAAGAAAACAAATCCCTAAAAAATACAATTGGCCAAATGGGGAAGGAGGTACAAAATCTAATAGAAGAAAACAATTTGTTAAAAATTAGAATAGAGCAAATGGAAGCTAATGACTCTATGAAAGAGCAAGAATCAGTCAAACAAAAACAAAAGAATGAAAAAATAGATGAAAATGTAAAATCTCATTGGTAAAACAACTGACCTGGAAAATCGATCCAGGAGAGACAATTTAAAAATTATTGGTCTACCTGAAAATCATGATGAAAAAAAGAGCCTGGACAGTATCTTTCAGGAAATCATAAAGAAAAACTGCCCTGAGGTCCTAGAACCAGAGGGTGAAATAGCCATAGAAAGAATCCACCAATCACCTCCTGAAAGGGATCCCAAATTGAAAACACCAAGGAATATAGTAGCCAAATTCCAAAATTACCAGGTCAAAGAGAAAATACTGCAAGCAGCCAGAAGGAAACAACTTAAATATCATGGAACCACAGTCAGGATTACGCAGGGCCTTGCAGCTTCTACATTAAAAGGCTGTAGGTCATGGAATATGATATTCCATAAGGCAAAGGAGCTTGGATTACATAAAACCAAGGATCAACTACCCAGCAAAAATGAGCATGATCTTTCAGGGGAGGAGATGGATATTCAATGAAATAGGGGACTTCAATACCTTCCTGATAAAAAGACCAGAGCTCAACAGAAAATTTGATCTTCAAATACAAGACTCAAGAGAGACATAAAAAGGTAAATGGGACAGAAAGTAACAACATGTTATTAATAAGGACAAACTCTTTACATCCCTACAAGGGAAGATGACACTTGTAACTCTTGAGAACTGTATTGTTATTACACCATGTAAAAGGGATATACATAAAAGGAGTGAGTATAAATTGACTTTGATGTAATGATGAAAAAAATCTAATCAAGTAGGTTAAATAAGTCCAAGTAAGTGAGTTAATCTGATCTAACTAAGAAAACGTACTGAGAGAAAAGGAAAGGAGGAGGCAGACAAGGGTAAATTACATCACGGGAAAAGGCACAAAAACCTATTACAGCAGAGGGAAATAAGGGAAGGAGATGAGCATTGTTTGAACCTTACTCTCAGCAGATTTGGCTTAAAAAGAGAATAACATAATCAGTTAGGTATAGAAATCTAATTGCGCCCTATAGGCAGTAGGAGGGAAAAGGGGAAAGAAAAGGGAGAGGATTAATAGAAGGAAGGTGGGACTGAGGGAGGCAGTGGTCAAAAGCAAAACATTAGTGAGGAGGGAAAAGGAGAAAGGAGAAAGAAAAGCATAAACAGGGTGGCGGGGGAAGGATGAAGAGAAAGACACAGTTATCATAAATGTGAATGTGCTATATGAATATGATGGAATACTATTGTGCTATAAGAAATGATGAACAGGCAGACTTCAGGTAAACCTGGAAAGACTTGTATGGTTTGATGCTGAGCATCAAAGTGAGCAGAATCAGGAGAACATTGTACACAGTAACAGTCACATTAAGTGATGACTGACTTTGATAGACTTAACGCCTGTCAGCAATACAAGGATCGAAGACATCTCCTCATGATGGAAAATACTATCCATATCCAAAGAAAGAACTATGGAGTTTGAATGCAAATCAAAGCATACTATTTGCTATTTTTTTCTTCTGTTGTGTTTTGTCTCCTCTTTCTGGTGATTCCTCCTATTAATTCTAATTCTTACTTACAACATCACTAATGTGAAAATATGTTTAATAAGAATGTATATGTATAGCCTATGTTAGATTGCATGTTGTCTTGGGGAAGGAGATAGGGAAGAAGGGGGAGAAAAATTTAAAACTCAAAAGCTTGTGGAAGTGACTGTTGATAAATCAAAATAAATTAATAAAATGAAAAAAAAAGAAAAAAAGAAAGAAATTTAATCCAAGGTGAATTCCTGCCCATTGTGTTCCACTCAAGCAAGTTTGGGTAGAGGTAGATCCTTTGTCTAAATTGTCCAAGACTAGGGGTAGTCTGGGTGTAGAGATAGTCTCTTTGTCCAAGAGAGACATGATGTCACTCTCCCAGTCCCTCATTGGAGTGAGCCCACTTCTCTTCATAAAGTCCGCCCCTCATTAATTGTTAACCAATCAGAGTTGATTGCCACCCTCAGGAACCCTCACTCTTCTAAGGGCATATATACTGTGAGCCCACCACCATGATTCATCTTTGGTCCGAGAGAGATGGCCAAATGACCATTCTTTTTATCAATAAAATGCTAGCATTATTAATAAAATGATTAATTTTACCCAAAAATTATGTCTCTTGAACTTTTTTAAACATCACAACATGCTAATTTTAGGGTGGCATACCCTTGAAGAAAATACTGAGATACCAAAGAAAGAGGGGCTCAAACCATCTTGTTTATTAATAGGTTTTATTAGGATTAATTAGATTAATTTAGAGAGTATACTCATAAGAGATCAGTCATCCTGGGTGGCAGCAGGACAAAGTAACATCCCGCATCCCCAAACAAATCCTGAGCCAGGTCAGGCTCTTCCTAAAATGTGCCATGCAGACCTAAACACAATGTTCTAAAAGCTGTCTCTCCAGGGTACATATGTGTTGCCCCAAAGCTATTGTCCTAATCCAGTGTAAGGAACCTATGGTTTCTGAGTACCCCTGTCCTGTTACCTCTGGCACAGGGGCTCCCAGGAAAACAGAGAATGGCTCAGAAAGCATTTTTATTGGAATAGCTGTCCTTCACTAGGTGACACTGTCATTACTCCTCATCCATTTGTGTATGCCATATCATTTGCCATATCAACCTGGGGAATGTATAAGGCTGCATTAGACTTTCCTCAGTATCAGATATAACACAGGGAAATACAAGCCCAGACACATAATGAAAACCACTCCAGTAACCTGGTCCCTCCCGTTTCTGTTCTTTCACACACACAGAGGTTTCACCAGGCCTCCTAGATCTCAAGTCAACACATTCAGTTCTGTAATATTCCATTGAATTTAGGGGGGGGGGAAAGCCCAGACTTCCGGATCTGGCTGAGTCATGACTGGCTCACCAGATTATTAGCAGTAGCAGCCTCCTTCCAACTCAACAGGTCCAACAGCCACCTCAGATGACTGTGCTAATATCTGGACCAAACTTTCTTTGCTCACAACATAGTATTATTCTTTGCCATGGAGAAATATGGCACACTACAGATTCGATAGATTTGTGCAAGTACACAAAATTACAACAATTACAATCTGTGTCACATCTAGAGAAAATTTGTGGCATGCCTTTGTGAACTGCTCATCCAAGCCACTTGCTACCTCATTACTAGACTGTGTCAATTACCTCTTAATTTATTCCCTGGCTCCAGTTCATGTTACAAAAACCCTAATGACAATTAATCCTCAGAAGTTATTCTTTGCTATAGTCCCAAGCTGGAAATAACAGTAAGTCTTCATTGACCAGAGGACCATTATTATAAATATCTTACATTTCTATCATTCAGTTTACATAGCATGTTATTCACCATAGCCCTTCAGCCTCGTTTAATAGGAGGTAGCTCTCTTTCTTGTCAAATTCCAAAACTGAACTCTGCTTCTAATATGTATCCCAGAATCTATCCCTCCTTCCTAATGTGTCCACTCTTAAGACATCTAGGCTTGAAATCTCAGTCATCTTTGATTTCTCTTTCTTACTCACCCACTCCCCACATTAAATTAGTTGCCAACCTCTATAGATTCGATCTCTGGGTCTCTCATATCTGTCCCCTTCTCTCTGCTCACAGTGTCAACATCCTAGTTAAAGCCTGGTCATACGTGACCTAGACTATTGGACTATTGCGATAGCCTTTTAACTGGCCTTAGTCCTTCAAGGCTTTGTCTCCAATTCCTACATCACGTGCTAGGAAAATAATCTTTCAGATACACAGATCTAGCCATAATACCCTAACACTCCAAACTTTTAAGTGGCTCTTTATTGCTTAGAGAACAAAATAGAAAACCCTTAGCCTGGAATTCAAGAGTCTCCACAGCTAAGCTTCCATTTACCTTTCCAGCCTGATTTTACACATCTCTCCCTTCACATACTCTATGTTGAAGCCAAACTAGATTACTAGATCTTTTCCTGCACATTCTGGCCTGGAATGATCTCATCTCTGACTTCCCTGCCTACCATCTCCACCTGTTAAAACCCTTCCTTCAAGGCATAGCTAAGCATCACTTCCTTCATGAAGTTTTTCTTGATCTTGCAGTTTGAAGTGATGCCCGCATCCTCATCTTTCTGATTCTTACTTGTTTTCTCCCATCACGTTCTGCTTGGTATTACAATGATTTGTGTACATGTGTCATGCCCAACCCCACTCCACTAAACGCTAAGCCGGGGTGGGGAACCTCAAGTTCGTCCCTTTGAATCCAAACTTCACAAAACAAGTCCCTTTAATAAAAGTATTTATTTGGTGATACTTGGACTCAGTCAAAAGCCTGCACCCAAGGACCTGGAAGGCCTCATGTGGCCTTGAGAACACAGGTTCCCCATCCCTACAAAGTTTTTGAGGCCTGACTATGTACCTTTTCAACATTATATTGCCGGCAGCATTTAGGGTTAGGGTTAGGGTAAGGGTTAGGGTTACACACCACTGCAAAAATAAGCAACTCTGAAAGCTGTAAGAACCATCATCAATATTATGACTATTCATCTCTTATCCAAGAATATCAGTATATGAGACCATCCACTTTACCATGTTCTTGGGTAGTTTGTTATAGCTTATTTTCTCCTTCAGTAGTGGTTGGGGACTTTCTGCTGTTAGACTATCAGGTAGATGGGAGATTAGTCTAACAAGATGTTTCTAGATAATTGTGGTTCCCATTTCCCCCTCTTCCCCACATTTCCATGTTCCTACTGTTTCTTCCTGGAAATGAGAAATAGGGATTCCTATTTTCTCTCACCAGCCTCTACCTCATGGTATAAAAGCACAAAGCAAAACCAAAATATAATGCTTTTATTCAGAAGCAAGACAAGGGTAACTGAAGGACTGGCAGTCTCCAGACCTCCATGTTCCAGGCCTGAGGAAATTCTCGTCCATCAATTCTGGGGGGCTTCTGAGAGGTGTGTCTCAGGCATGGAAGGATGCTGCAGTGGCTCTGCCCTCAGCCACAGCCCGTCCTCAGCCCTGAGGATCACTTCTGGCTTCCTTCGGGCTGGGTGTTCATCAGGGAGGATTCTGAATCTCAGTAGAGTGAGGGCCAGCACAACCTTCATCTCATACATGGCAAAATTCTGGCCAATGCAATTCCTGTTCAAGGAGAGGGTCTGCCAATCCTCAGGCCTTGACCCCAGTCTTATTCTGTCTTCCAACCACCACACATGTGTATATGCACATGCACATGGACACACATACACATACACACACATACACACACACACACACACACACACAGAAGATGAGACCCCTACATCTCCTGGGCATAGGGCTTGGGGCCTGAGACTCAGTCTCTCTTGAGGGTTTGGAGATGACCACAATGACCCAGAAGGGTGAGGACATTTCCCCAGGACTTCAGAGAGGCAAATGGGAAAACATGTGCTATGGCCTTACCTGGGTCCAGCTGAGAAGGGCATAAATGCCAATGGTGACATCTTCTGGAAGTTGTCAAATTCAAAGCGGTATGGGTCATAGACCTGAGGGAGAAGGACAGATCTAAAATGGTGGAGATAGCCCAGGGCAATACCAAGCAGGCAGACTTTTATCAGGGAGGCAAGGAAACTACCTTTAAGGCAGCAGGCCATCCCCTGTGAGGAGATCAATATTGTAGTCTCTTGCCTTCCTGGCTCTGCTCCCTAGTAGAGACACATTTAGGCTTCTCCTATAGTCATCCTAGGCAATGGCTCAGCCCTTTGCCATGAGTATCCCTGACCCTTAGATCTATCCAGATAATATGAGGGGGATTGGAGTAGGTACCTCAGGATTAGACCACACAGATGGATTGTGGTGAGTTCCAAAAATGCTGACCAGACAAATGTTCCCTGTTAAGAAGGAAGAGATAGAGAGCCCAACATGGCCGGCAAATTCCATACATTCACTTGTCAAAGTTCCCCCTCAACCCCACTCCCCCCCCATCAACTTTCTAAATATTATTCCTTGGCCACTTCCTGAAGAAAACCTGACACCTGCTTTCTACCTTCTCCTACACTGTACCCACAGATGCATCCCCTGTCATGCCTCAACTTCTCCTTACTGTACCATGCACACCTGGGTAAAAGATACCTTTGGGGATGACGCGCCCATCAGGTAGTTGGATGTCCTTGGTGCATCGGCGAGCAATAGCAACAACCGGTGGGTGCAGCCTCAGGCTCTCCTTGATGCACATGGTCAGGAAAGGCATCTGAGACAGGTCATCCCTGGAGCGAGCAGACCTGTCATCTTGGGGAAGGGGGCCTTAGACACCCAATCCCACACAGAAAGAAGGTGATAGGACAGGATCATGACATTTTGTCCTGGAGTCTCCAGAGTGGGGGCGGGGGAGAGGGAGGTGAGGGGAGAGAGTTGGGAACCCTGACAGAGATGTGATCAAAGAAGAAAAAATAAGAAAGGCCAGGATGTGGGATGGAGTCCTTGGCATAGAAATCTCCCTCCCTTTTAGCCCTGGGTGGTATCTGTGGAGAGTTATCCAGAAAATCAGCAAGTGGTCAGGAAACCCTCCTGTCTGTACTAGGGGAGAGTTGTTTTGATAGGCAAGGACCATCATCTACAGTGGCATAGCTCTAGCCAAGTCAGCGTGGGGCTTGGGGATGTTTCTTTTGGGGAGTGTCCTCAGTTGTGGCCAGGGTGGTCTGGGGGATGAGCTCCTAATTATCTTTCCTAGAGGAATCCTCCCAGTCTCATTCCACACTGACCATTCAATTTCCTCTGGCTGACGACCCCTCAGGAGCTCCTGTATTTCCTGACGACAGCGGTCCTGGTATTCTTGGTGCTGGGCCAGGTTGTAGAGGGCCCAGGAGAGGCCACTTGCTGTTGTGTCATGGCCTGGGATGAAGGGAGAAAACTCCAGACATTTAGAATGAGGGTGAGGGGGTGTCTATCAGTGAACTGTGGATGAGAGGGAACATCACAACCACACTGAAATCAGCATAGGCTCTGAAGGGACAGCTCCTTCTAGGCTAGCCCTGGTCAAAGCAGGAATCACTGAGGCTGACATCAGGAATAAGATATAAATGGACTTCTTAAGGGGAAATTCCCTCTAAATCCCCAACACCCTTAGCCCCAGACCCTCCCACTCCATCTGCTGCCTTACCCTCAAACATGAAGGTGTCAGCTTCTGCCCGAATGTCTTTGTCTGACAAAGCCTTCCCTTCTTCATCCTGGAATAGTACATATCTGTGGGTTCCTGGCTTCCTTCCTTCCTATGAGCAGGTCTACTCAGGATCCCCTTGTCAGCATCCCCCAGGAACTATTAATAATGTCAGGTATCATACCTAGAATCCTTGAGACTTAGCCCAAATGCTTAGCATAACTCATACCCCCATAGCCTTCTAAAACACCTGAAACTGTCCTTTGGACTCCTACTGTACTTACAGAACCACACCATGGAAGTCACCTGATATGTCCAAAACCCTCAGAAACTATACTGAGGACTACCCAGAATCAGATACTGTTGGAAGACATGCCTAGAATAATATAAACTTGGATTTAGAAGGGACCCTTACCCAAAGCATGAGTCCCTTCTGAAGCCAAAGACCTATACCTAGCTATGGTATACCCTGGGAGTATCAGGATTCTTCGATAGGCACTCTGCCCCTTAATAAGTCTTGTCCTTTCCTCCTTAATACTCTCTCTCTCAAGCACATTTGTACTGAAGAAATTCTAGATATTTCCAGCATATCATAGATTCTCCTTTGATATAGCTAGAAGCAGCCTTAATGGTACTCCTAGATAAGTCTATAATGTAGGAAATTATCTTTGATATACCCAGAACCACAGAAATATTTATGAATATGCCTGGAATCCTATTAACTACCCTGATAAACCTAGAAATAACATCACAGGATATACTTTGAGGTTATTTCTAGGTATACTAGTTATTTCTAGGTACATTAGTTAATTGGATTCCAGGTATATTTCAGCTAGGATATACCTAGCTATACTTAGAACTGAGATTAATCCTTTCATATACCCAGAACAGGCTAGAGGAAGCTATTTCACCCCACCATGGGAGGGAAGTAAAGGGATGCTTTCCCAATAAACACCATTCTATGTGACTCAACTCTGGGACACATATTACGGAACCATGAATCTGCCTTTGGCAACCAAGCCCTTCATCTTCCCCTGGCTGTCCTCCCTCTCCCCACGGTCCCTCAGGGCTTCTGGAAGACTCCCTCCCTTCCCACTTCTCCCTGTAGCTCTAATGTTCACCTTAGCCAGCAGGAGAACATCTATGAAGTCCACAGTCTTTCCTTTGATCTTATTCCTGAGGAAGGCCTCAGAACCTTGTTCAGCAAGGATTCGGCGCCGGGTCTGGATGACATCATCTGTGAAGCCGTGCACCAGGTGGCAAGCCCTCAAGAACTGTCTCCCCTGGCTGGTGAGGTAGTATAGATGATCCCAGTATAGGACTGGCTCCTGGTTGCGTTTTGATACAAGGCTGCTTAATTCCAAGATGGCAGAGATATAGGGACTTGGCTTCCTGTGCAAAGTATGGAGGCCAGGATCAGGAGTCAGGCCAGCTGAGAACCCTGAGAGAACCCCAGCCCTTCAGACTCCACATAGCTCAGACTAAGCTCTTTAATGTCCTCCAAAACATCCCCCTCCCAACTGGCCTGCCCTAGACACTAACATGACCTCTCCCCACTCTGTCACCTAGGCTCAAAACCACAAATCACATATGTTCTTCCTCCATAATAGATAATCACAGAATCTCAGTTAGAAAAGACCTCACAGTGCTGTGAAGACCAACCTAGACCTGAACAAGAAATCCCTCTACAATATCCTTAATGGGTCCCAGCATCTACTTGAAGACCTGCAGTGATGGAAAACATGCCAGCTTTTTGACAGTTCTAATTATTGGAAAGTGGGTTTTTCCCCCTATAGCAAACCTCAAACTGTCTCTCTACAATTTCCACTCATTAGCCCTCTAAAGTAAATAATGATAAATCTAATCACTCTCAAAGACCCAAAGATAGTCCTTCAAATACTTGTGAACTCTGTGGGGCACGGCACCAGCATGATGTGGCACCCACACTTCCTTTCTCTTTCTGTCTGGGCTGGCTCCCTCACTGTAAACAGCTCTCATATTGGCAGGCCTAGGGTGGGGAGGAGAAAGATGGGAGGCAGGAGTGGGGGGGGTGGGGGTGGGGAGGCTCATTCCCAGAAGTACACCTGTCCATGGTCAGCCATGCTGCTACACTCACTCTGAGCCTCTTGCATGTGTTTCCCATTTATACAGTCACAATGACGCCAGTAACTCTAAAACATGAAACATTTACTAGCTGCAAAGGCAAAAGCAAAAACAATCATTATTCAACAGAAGACAAAAGCAAGAGTAATCAGAACATAACAGTCCACCCATAAACCCTGGGTCATACTCTCCTACCAGTTTACAAAGGTGGAGAGAGTGGGCACAAACCTATAGAAATCTAGCAGTGAGGAAAGCAGGGAAACCCACGTCCAGGTATTAATGTCCTTTTTAGAAAATAGTCTGCACTGCTGTCATCTACTGAGCAGAACCACTTCTACTGCAGTTCTCTGACACTCTTAGGCCATGGAAGCAGCATTAAGCTCTTTCAGTAAACAACATTGTTATGTCCTTTCCATGACAAGCAGTTCCTATAAGTCTGGAATCTGTAGAGATTTATCAGTCTGTTCTCTGGGCTAGGAAGGGTGACTACCTCCCTATAGAGAAAGATCGATAGAGGGCAATGCAGTCATGCCCCTAAGGGGTTTTCTCTGTCTCAAGCTGTAGATGGTACTACATATAAGACAAGCCCAACAAGGTCTTTAAACCACAGAGGAGTCTGTTTTCCTCCAGTCAACTCCTAGCATGAGCTCTCTTCCAAACAAAGCAGCTCCCAGGGCAGCTGTAGAGCCTGCCTTTTTTTTCAATCTCCTTTAAAACTGTTTCATTGCAAGGCAAAACAGCCAGGACAGCTCTTCAATTACAGCAAAGAAGTCTGCTTTTCTCTAATTAGCTCCAGAAGCAAAGCATTTCTCCACACTGTCTCCACTGCCAGACCACCCCCCCCAATTTGAGCAATGGGGTAGTGCAGGCTCTAAACTCTTTATTCAGGTTTTGATTCATCTGATCTTCTTTTCCTAATACTTTTCCTGGCTTCTTGCTTCTTGCATCTGTCTGGAGCTTCTCTGACCTTCCCTTCTCAGTCAGCTTCTACTCTCAGTTTCTATTCTCTGACTTCTAATGCCTCAAAGCAGGGTCTTGTCATGAGTAATATTTAAATTGAAAAACCTGAAGTCCACATTTGCATAAAGTATAACACAAATAGTTCTTAGACTAAAATCCCACAGCCCCCAAAAGAGTTCTGCAATGCAGAGCTGTTCATCAGTCAAGTCCTGAAAATATTAATATTCAGATCAGCTGCTGGAAAACAATGTGTTTCAGTGATCTCTGCATCACTCTGTTCTTTTGCATGTGAGTTGCTTTCAAACACATTTTCTCAGTACTTTTATTTGAAAGACTGTTTTCTCTCAGATCCCCAGAACTATTTGGGTTTCTCCAAACTGTTTTCCTGTGTTGTTTTTATACAAATGCCCTTTTGTTTCCTTTTTCAGAAAATAAAGCATTCACATGAGAAAAGGATGGCACCTTATACTTAAACACAACTATCACCTCCCTTGGGGCAGTTAGGTGACACATGCACTGGACATAGCACCCAGTCTGGAGTCAGAAAGACTCTTCTTCCTGAGATCAAATCCAGCCTCAAACACTTACAAGCTATGGGACCCTGGGCAAGACATTTAACCCTGTTTGCCTCAGTTCTTCATCTGTAAAATGAGCTGGAGAAGGAAATGCCAATCTGCTCCAGTCTTTGCCAAGAAAAACCCCAAATGGGGTCACAGTCAGACACCGCAGAACAACAAATCACCTCCCTCTCCCCCCCCCCAAGCAGTCTCTTCTCAAGGATAACATTTCCAGTTTCTTCAACTGATCACCTGATATGGTGTGGGCTCCAACCTTTTCACAATCCTATTTACCCTGCTCTGGACACTATAGCTTTACCATGTATGGCATCCAGAACTGAACACAATACTTGGAGATGTGGCCTTTTATACCTCCCTTTCTATCTCCACAGCTTTTACCCTAAGCTATTATACGGTAAATGCTAACCTTTGATTATCATGGTTCCATCACTTCTGGCCCAGGCTTGCCCCACAGAGAACAGGGAAAGACTGAGAAGGTACTTTTTAAATAAAAGGCTGTGCTTGACCATCTGTGCCCATCTCTTAGGTATATGCTGTGCTGAACATCTCCAGTTGCTTGAATACAACTGAATGAGATACCCAAGGATGCACACAACACAAAGAAAACAGAAAAATGAATGTACAATGAAAACTCCCAGGCAGGGCTCTCCTACTCTCCCACACAGGGGTCTCACTAGGATTTCTTGCTTTCTTGTCAATCTCTTTAGCTCTGTAATATCCCAATTACTTTAGGTAAAATGAGCTTAGACTTCTGGGAAGGAAAAGACACTTGTACGAAATGACAGACAACTTCAGATGGGAAGAAAGAATGGCAACAGATTCTGCCTTCCTGCCCAACAGAGCAATGAACCAGCTTTGATGATTGTGCTGATATCTGGGCCACTGGGTTCGCAACTTGGTTTTTTTAATCACAGCATAGTATTACTCTTTTCCAGAAAGAATTTTGGCACATAACTGGAGAATCAAACTACTTGCACGTGCATGTACGATTGGAAATACGAAGTCAATACAATTCAAGACATGCCTACTAAAAACTTTTTGAAAACCAGGCTAAGTGGCAGCTAGGTGACACAATGGATAGAGCTCTGCAACTGGAGGCAGGAAGACTTGAGTTCAAATCTGGCCTCAGACATTTACTAGCTATGTGGCAAGTCACTGAACCTCTGTTTGCATCAGTTTCCTCAACTGTAAAATGAGAACTGAACTGATTGTCTTAAAATCCAGATTTGAATTCAGGTTGCTTGGCACCAACTGCACTTTCCCTGATACCTCTATTACTTCTCTATTGACATGCCTCTGAGACTGGGGTGCTATCTTGTCTCCCTTTCATTCCTTCCAGGATCCGCTCTCCTGACCCTGTCCCCTAGTCTCCCTTGCAACATCCTCACCACTTCTTGCTTCCTATCTGCGTGACTGACCTGTGACCAAGTACTTCTTCACACCATGCTCTTCATCCCAGCCAGTACACTGACCACTGGGGCCAATTCTCCTATGGACATTCTCCCATTGCCCTTCCCCAGGCATCTGCCTCATCCAGAGGATCTGTCTGGAATCACTCACTGATACTATCACAAAGAAAGCTCTCACTGGGGATATCAGGTGCCCACAGCTGAAGGAAAGTGGGAACTGAACCAGAAGGAGAATCAGAAGGGGTGACAAGTGATTTGCCTCACTCCCAAAAGTTTATGTATATGTATTCTTTAGATTTTTTTGATGTCCTTGTTGTCTCCCCCTATGGACCATAATCTACTTGAGTGTACGGACTATTTCAATGATATCTTTGTAAGGTCGGTGCCTAGTGCAGTATCTGGCACCCAGTAAGAACATAATAAATGCATTAAGTTCCTATTACACTGGAATTGTCATATTTGTAAATGGTTGATGATGAAATAGTCACTAGTGCCTTATCAAGACTCGTGTGGGGAGATACTAAAGGCAATGTACCTCCCTCCAAGGAAGTAGATCAGGGATGGGGTTTAGAATATTAAAGACATACACAGCTAGCCAGCTACAGGGCCTCCAGTTTCCATGTTAATTTTGATCTGCCACTCCTCATTCACCATCCTAGATCTCATCTCTAACAGTGAACATTCTCCTTCAATAGAGTTCTTCCTTCCCCTGAACACTGTGGCTATGTTGCCTCTAGTTCTTAAGTCCTCAAAGTCAAGAGCTGGGCTGAGACTCACTCCTGACAGTGGCTGTCATGGCTGAAGACACACTTCTGCAAGCTGTCCAGGGTCATGAGGCTGATGTGGTCAAAAACATTCAGGCGGATGCTGTCCCCAACATACAATTGTCTCCAATTCATCTGCCCAAGAAAGAAATCCTAAGTGTGAATCTGGACTCTTCACAGGAGCTGAACCTTTGTCCTGAGCCCCTGCAAAATGCTAGAGAAAACAAGAGAAGGACCTCTTTTTGTCATGGGGAACTGAGTGGGGGCTACAGATCACATTCAGAGCTCTCCTTAGGGTGAGAGGGAGTCATTGGCTAGGAGTCAGGAGAACTGAGATGCAATCTGAGCCACGCTGCTATGTGAACTATTTTGTGTAACCTCAACATCTTCCTTCCTCATCTGTAAAAGTGGAGATGAACAACACTGGCCTCTCTGTCTCACAAGATGCTGGGAGGAGATGAGGTCATGGACAGAAAACTGAACTGAAAGGGTAAGTACTGGAGAAGACTCATATGGGATGGTGACCATGGGTTCTGCTCCACCACTTCAACCCCCTCAGGCTAAATTCAGGGAAAGAGGGTGGTGGGACAGATGAGAGACGTGACTAGGCACTTTTGCACCAATAATAGCAACCACAAATGATGGTTGAGGCAAAGCAGACTAAATGCACCATCATTTGGGGCTCAGTGGAGATACCACGAAAGACTAAGGTGCAACTTAGGAGTGAGGGCACAGAGTAGGGTACAGCTGGACCTTAACCAAGTCTACCTTTGTTGGATCACTCCTTTAACTGATTATTCTTGATAACTAGATCCTAAACTCTGTTTATTCCCTACTGAAGCACTGCAGCAACCTCTAATTTCTTTTTTTCTCTAGGGGAAAATCTTGGTCACCTTGCTGTAGTCATAGTCACCATCACACCTGTTGCAATACAAGGTGATCTAACAATGAATTCACTCCACATAAGCTCCTGGCCTCTTGGGGTCTCCTCCCATCTACCCACAGCTTTTCCAGTCTTACGTGCATGATGTCAGTGGACTTGTTGAAAATCTTTATGTAGGGTTTGAGGATGTCAAAGTGAAAAGCTGGGGTCAGCAGGCGCCTACGCTGGCTCCATTTGTCTCCTTTGCTCAGAAGCAGCCCATCCCCTGGGAGAAAGATGGTGGAAGAAGCTCATGCCCAGACCACAATAATGAACTACCCAGGACCCTCACCCCACACACAGATCCCACAACATGCCCCCCCATCAGGCCCCACACCAATCCTTTATGTATCCCTATTCTTAAATCCCTCACCCACAACCACTAGCCCCCAACCCATTATTACCCAAACACTAACCCTCCCAGGATTCTATTCTTAGCCCATTAATATCAATCCTTTAGTTCAATGAGCTCCTCGGTCAAAAGCATCCTAAGCTTTTCTCCTCAGGTATCTTCTCAATTCCTAGTGCTTCTGCCCCAACCATCACTCACCCAGCCAATGCTTGAAGAATCCATAAAAAAGCTTGTCCTTGGGTGCGATATAGGCTGTTGAGACATATGTGTTATTTCAAGGGGTGGTATAAAGATTATATGGTGAAGATAGGGGAAGAATGTGCCACAAGATAGCCGAGAGGGAAGAGAAGGGAGAGGAACTCAGTAAGTTGGGAAATAGGAGGCTGGAGCTTCATTTCCTTTGCCATTACCCATCCCCAACCACAAAACAACCTCCTCCTAAGTTCAACACAAAAAGGATAGAGAAAGCAAGAGGAGGACAGCAGAGATCAGGGTGAAAAGCAAATAAGGTTGGGTGGAGAGCAAGAGCAGGAGGCTTGATGTAGAAGAACAACCAGACATAGCCTGATGTGCTACCTGGACAAGACCCAGAGAAGGCCCCAAGCTTGGCCCAAAGCACCCTGGGAATGGCCAAAGCATGACCCAGATCTGGCCTTTTATTCCTCAGATACCACCCAGACATGGGCCCAGACATGGCCTCACAGATGATCAGGAAGGAAAGCTTGCTTTTCCAATATTTCCCATATTTCTACGTGTCTTACTTAAGTATTCCTGGTTATTCTCCCAGGTATGTTTGACTTCTCCATCATGACTCAGATGCCCTCTCACGCTGGAACTTCCCTCACTCCCTGTGACCTTCTCACCCTCTAACATCCTTCTACCTCTGTGGTCCCCCCCTCTGCCATGATTGATTTCTGAAGTCACCATTTTGAAGAGGGGCCCAGGCCTGCCCTCCTTCATTCCTCCCCTAGCTTGGCTTCTGAATATCCCTTCCCTCACCTTTCTCTCCCCTTTTCCCTCATTAAAATGTCAGCTCCTTAAAGGCAGGCACTATGGGATTTTTTTTATTTTGGGGGGGGGGAGGTGAGGTTGCTTATATTTGTATTCACTCTTAGTACAGTAGCTGGCATATAGTAGGCAGGAGCAATTTATTAAGCCCCTCCTCCATGCTAGACACTGTGCCAGGCACTAACAATACAAAGGTAAAAACAAAATAATTCCTGCTGTTGAAAAACTTACATCCTATTTGTGGAAGGGAAGGGAAGGGTGAGATCATGAGAGCTATACGTACACAGATTATACATATAATGTAATACCCATACATATGGGGGCATTTAATCATGGTGTTCTATGATTCGTGGCTACATGGTACCACCAGCAGAAGATTATTGTTTTTAAAAAAAATGAGTTTTAGCTTCAGGGAAAAGCCTGGGATCTTTGAAAGCACTACACAATTTACCAAAGGAAATGCAGAGTTCTCTTTTGCTTCTATTTTATTTTTTACTATACCGATTGTCCATCCACAGCTTGCCCCCCAGAGGAGCTAAACTGAGCTACAGTGGTGACTGCGTTTGGTGGTTCTGGTCCTGTCCAGTGCTAAGATTCTTCCAGCCCTAAGCCATCTTCCCCTTGGGAGGAAGTTGGAACCAAAGATCATGGAGTGGGTGAAAGAGGAGGAACACTCGGGGTTCCCCCTGCCCTCTTTGAACCAGAGTATATAAAACCCTCTGCGTGCCGTTCAAAACTCTTCACAAGCTGCCCCACCACTGCCTTTGCAGTTTTCTTTTACCTTACTCTTCTCCTTGTACCTGCAGTTCATTGATGCCGTCCTCCTTGCCGCACATTAGACAACTTCAGGCATTTTCATTGGCTATCTCCCGCCCCTAGAATGCTCTCCCTCTTCCATCTCCACTGTGTGGCTTAAATGGCTTCCTTCAAGTCCCAGCTAAAATCCCATCTTCTACAGGAAGTCTTTCCCAAAGCACTTTAATTCTAGTGCCTTCCCTGGCCTGTTAGTTCCAATTTATTACAGATATGGATACAGTTATAGAGATGGAGATAGATAGATACAGATATAAATATTGAAACCTATAGAGATAGAGATAGAGATAGAAATGGATATATAGTTAGATACAGATGCAGAGATATGTAACAGGAACTGTCTTTCACCTTTCTTTGCATCCTCAATGCTTAACACACTGACTGGCACATAGTCAGTGCTTGATAAATTTTATTACTAACTAATTCCTGACTTTCCTCTGCATCCTGGTCTCTCCGGGTATCGGATGGAACTTCCTAACATTGAGTCTCTCATCACTGTTTTCTTTCCTACTTTCAACTTCTCTCTCGCTTCTAGCTTCTATCTTTCTCCTCTGTCCACTCCCTCCTCCTTTATTTCTCCCACCATCTTTTCTTTCTTCTTCCCCTTCCATCATATTTCCGTTCTTCAACCCTTCCCTATTCCCTCTTTTTACATCTAGCAGCTCTTATTGCACCTGTCCCAAGGAGAAAAGTTCTTGAAGGCAACAATGATTGATTTTTCTCACTGTATTAGGTGTTCTATGATCACATATGTCAGTGGAAGGGTTGATGAAAAGCTAACTGAGGGGGCAAGTGGGGATAGATGTTGCCACGGTAACCATGGTCCTTGGGGTTTACATACCTGAAGCTGATGTGACAGGCCTGATGTAGTCGGGGTGGCAGATGAAAACAATTGGGTGTATGGGTCCACCCCACATTAGAAACACCTCCCTGAATGTGGTTACAAATTTAATTATATTCTTTACGCCTTCCTCAGAGGGTTTGATCTGTAAATAAAGCAACAGGAAGAATCAGCACTTTCAAACAAACCTTAAGGAAATGCCAAACCTCTCATGTTCAGGAAAAGACTGAACATTTCCATGGGCTTTTCTGAAGGTCATCTGCCTCATGCAACCAGCATGACAGGGTGTGTGGCATCATAGAAACAGTCCAAGCCTGGCACAGAGTCTCAGAATTGTAGGGACTCCAGAGGCCATCTAATCTAACATGCACCCAAACAAGAATCTAGTGGACAACATCCTCAACAAGTAGCCCTTATGTTTCTTCTTGAGGACTTCCAGTGAGGGGGAAGCTTCTACTTTCTCAAGAGAGTTCACCCCATTTTAAGATGGCCCTTATTGATAGGAAGCTTTTCCCAACTTCAAGCCTAAATCAGTCTCTCTATACTTTCCATCCATTACTCCTAGTTGTATCCACTGTGCTCAAGCGGACAATTCTAATTTCTCTTCCATGCTTTCCGCACTATGACAGCCCTTCAATAATTGAAGACAGTAACTCCTAGACTGAAAAAAGACTTTTGCATCTAATTCCTTAGATAAACGTATGATATCCAAGATATATAGAGAACTGACACAAATATGTAGGACTAAGAACCATTTCCCCAATAAATAAGTGGTCAAAAGACACCAACAGTTTTTAGAAGAAATAATGGTCAACAAATATATGAAAAATTCTCCAAATCACTAATAAGAGAAATGCAAGTTTAAAATTCTGGGATTTCACTTATCACCATGGAAAAGATGATAACAAATGCCTTCAATGCTATGGGAAGACAAGAACAATAACATGCTGTTGGCAGAACTGTGAATTGAGTCAATCATTCTGAACAGTTTATAATTATCTAAGAAAAGTCATTACCTGGTCCATACTCTTTGACCTGGTTATCTTGGTTATAGCGAAGAAAGAAAAGAAAAAAAAGAAAGAAAGAAAGAAAAAGAGAGAAAGGAAGGAGAAAGAAAGAAAGAAAAAGAAAAAAAGGAAAGAAAGAAAAAGAGAGAGAGAAGGGAAGGAGAAAGAAAAAGAAAGGAAGGAAGGAAGAAAGGGGAAAAAAAGAAAGAAAGAAAGAAAGGTCCCATATGTATGTAATCCTATTTCATATATAATGGAGGTTACACAGAGCATGTGCAAAGATTCACTTTCTGCTTCTAACTATCCACATGTGAGTGACTCACTGCTGAAGACGATTAACACTGGCCACTGAGCCAGAACCGACAGAATAACGGATCTTGAAAAGGACAGTGACTCTACCTCTCTTGATCTGTTTTCCTTTGACCCTTGAGCTGGCATCACACAACTCTGGGACTCCCTATGAAGAGGGCGAGTTAAATTGCACTTCACTCTTTTCTAGACCTTAGCCACCATGTGACCACAGCACATGGCAGCTGAAGTACATGCCCTGCCCAGCCACCCTCAGTTAGAGATCTCATTGGACGTTACCACAGGGGGGCGGGGGGGGGGGGGGGGGGGAGACCCGGGGCAAACCTGAGCCTGGACTTTAGAGTTGCCTCTTTTGTGCTTGTGCTCTCATGGTCTTAGGTGAATAAGCATCAGTACCTAAATGAATGTGCCCCACTCTATCCGAAGAAACTACCCTGTGAGTTCCAGAGTTTCAGAAGTTTGGAGTCCCTTGGGCTGTTTGGTGGCATGGGATGGAGTGGAGAGAGGGGGCAGGAAAGGGGAATCCCCAGCAGATACTCCAGTGTTTCTTAGGGGAAAAGATCACTGTGAAGAGGATGAACTCAGATCACTGGCCTACTTTCCTTTCAACTTTCTCTGTGTATTTCCCTGTCATTAAGGGAACCCTTGAAATCTTAGAAACCTTCCAGACACTGGAGAAGAGAAGAGAAGAGAAGAGAAGAGAAGAGAAGAGAAGAGAAGA